GCGTTGCCACCAACGTAAGTAACGATCACACATCTTAGTGACGGCCTTTTAGAGGCGGTTCACGAGTCACGGGTTATCCTTAGTTCGAGCGCAAAATCCAGTTATAGCCGATTTTTTGCGCCGCGGCTTAGAAATCGGCTTCACGAGTACGAGGTTACCCGCGCTCGGGCGCAGACAGATAAACTTCACCCAATTATGCCAGGGATAAACCCAAGCGCAAAAAGTCGGCTTCACGGGTTCAATTAGAGAAAACCCCGGGCCAAATGTCGGGTTCACGAGTCATGGTCTAGCGCAAACTGGATAATCTCGGGCGTAAATAACAATGGTTTTGGACTTCAACTTAACCCTGCTAGGGGGCAGAGTTAAGGTGACATCATGTCGGGATTATCTCATTTGCTCGTTTATTGTTTTTTGTTAGAAAAAAGAATGTTATATTCGGATTTGCCATTAAATTCCAAACAATTTCATTACCCTCAACATGATATTTTTAAAATTTTTTTATTACTGATTACCGAAAACATGCAAAACATCGTAAAAAGTAACTGTTGAGACATTTTAATTAATTCCTACTAAGTAAAACTATAACTAATAGCTTAACATATTCATTAAAATTTAAATTGCAATCGAATCTTATTGCGTAAATGTTTTATATTTATTTTAGCAATTTTGAATCCTTTTATTTCAGCTGAATATCAAAATAAAAATGGTTCCATCAAACGCTGTTAGGTTTGTCTAAGAATTTGTATTGTATAAAATTAGTACAATTTTTGTTCCTCCATAAAATTCATATAAAACATAGGTCATCCGATTTAAGTATCCAAATTTTATTTTGTATGTTTTAAATTATATGTTTATATTATTATGTTTATGATTTAACATTTGTTAAAGAAATACCTTTCATCTCATAATGTCTTAATATTTGTCATATCGGAATTTACAATAAATTGCTTCAATTTGCTGAGGTAAAAGATAAATTCTATAGTTAAGTTTACAAAACGTTGTATTACAACAAAATATTTTTTTAAATTATAACCTGTTTTCTCATGCTTAGGGCTGCGCTCTACCCGTCTGGTGCGCGCAAATGTTATTAGGGGTTTCGTTTTTAGGCCTGCTGTTTGTAGCCCCAATTGTGGACCGATTTAAAAGATCTTGGTGTCATAAAATGTTATTGCATGTTTGCCATTTTATATTTACGTTTATTACTGTTTACGTATGAAGGCATCTCGGCTCTTATAATAGCCAGTTGTTGCTCCAAATTAATTTTTTATACAAATCACAGATACATAAAAGATATTCATAAATCTTTGAAAAGAGCAGTCGTTTTATTAAATAATTTGAACGTTTGGATAAAACTGCAAACCTGATAAAGTATGTCTTATTTTTGAACATAATTGGTAATCAAATTTTATTGCAAACATTACCAAGATTTGTTTAAACTTTTTTTAAAACATAATTGCATTTTCCCGATTCAATGTATTCAGTAAAAGTGTATTATTCATGTTATATATTTTGCTTCTGTACTTCTTATATTAATCCATATGTTAATTATTTATTTACATTGTTCATACAATAATATTTACTTCCCAGTTATGAATAAACAGTTATGCAAGTTGCAAGTGCTTGTATTTATTAATTGGCGACGAGGATAAAAAAAGAAACTACACTTTATTACCTTCAATTTTTTACCTTTTATTATCTAATCACCAATCTAAATTGTTCATATCTTAACTAGTCAACTACAGAATGGAAATTTTACAGAACATTGATTCACTAGTAGATTTGAAGAAAGTACGGGCTATTGTTAAGGGCCAGATTACAAGGGCAGACAGACTCTTAGATGATGTATCCACCATACCAACAGAAGTCTTACAAAACAGAATGGATTTATTAGAAGAAAACTGGAAAAGGTTTGAAGCTGTTCAACTGAAAATAGAATTGAATTCAAAGGAAGAAGATGTTGATGAAGAAGTTAGATACAGAGTTGACATGGAAGAACGATATTACAAAGTAAAATATCAGTTACAAATTAGAAAAACACAAATAGAACTAGAAAAAGATCTGCAACAAGGTAGTACGATGACCAACAGAAGTAATCATATGTACCGTTCTCTTACTTCAGCTATATCATTCACCCCTTTTCAAGACGACAAAACGTTCAAAAACTTCATCAGGCGCTTAGAGATTTTTATGCTTTTACATGGACATGGACTACAGCCCAGGGACAAGGTTTACACCCTTCTTTTCTTCATGCCCTGTCTCCTACCCTACATCAGAAATTGTATGATTTGTGTGCGCCTGAGGACCCGCTGGATAAGACCTACTCAGATCTGGTAAAGTTACTATCAGATTATGTTGACCCTCTGCCGAGTACATGGGCAATGCAGCATAGATTTTTATCAAGAGTACAGGACCCATCAGAATCTGTGAAAATGTATTCTGCTGAACTCCAAAAATTAACCACAGATTGCGATTTTTCACACGGGTCAATCCATATCAAGTGGTCCAGAAATAAATTAATTGGTTGCTTCAAGATTTTTAATTTTTTTCATATTTTTATCCTTAAAAGTACATATCATTAGAAGTACAAAAATACAATTATTTTATTTTTATTTAATTTTTCTACTGTATGGCGGCCATTTTTTTGTTAGTCGAATGCCCGTTTTCAGCGATTTCAGAGCTCTACGTTAAATTAAATATCTCTGGTTCTACTAATCCTAGAACATTAAAATAAAAACCAATCTCTTCAGAAAGATCTAAACTTTAATATGGTAGTATAGTTATGCACTTAAAACTAAATATATAGGTCTAATTACCTGTTTAAAGTTTAACGCAACGATGTTACGAAAACAGATTTTTAACAATTTATTTTTACATAAAGGCAATTGACTATGTGTTTGTTATTTTTTTATCTGATAGTTATAGGTGTGTACTCCAAATTCTCAAAGTTTCAAGTTGTGGACTTGCATAGGGTATTAAATACAAAATTTCAAAATCTTAAAATTTTCAAAATTTCAAAAGTTTGACGCTTAATATCTCTGTTGGGCATGAAAATAAAAATTTCAAATTTGGCTCAGATATAGTAATAAGTAAGAGTATTATCCTGTAATAATTATATTTTGTGGACTCAACTGGTTTTAAAGTTATGAAACATTGTAAAGTACCGGTACTCAAATAAGCATTATACGCGTATAGCGTAGGAAGCATAATATGATATTATAATACACTATCAATGTATTTTATTAATTTTATATTTTAATAATAGATTTTAAGCATTTTGATGTTTTAAAACACTCTACTTTGCTGTCTGCCACAGGTAAAAATCTGTGAAAGGATTGTGTTCAGGGAATTGGTAGACGTCCTTTGAATCAAAATTGTTCTAAATTCAAGTTCTAATTCTTTTTTTGCTACTTCTTCACTGTCTACATAAAAGTATTGAATACCTTTAAGGTTTTTTAACAAAAGTTAAACATATCCTTAGCATTCAAAATTTGGTTGTCAATGGTACATTGTAGACTATTAGTGACCTCGCTCTTTGTAGTGCCTCCTACACCATTGCAGGCATTTTTTCCGTGCGCAGTAGTGTATAAAAAAATGCCTCGCATCTGGTATTTTAGTACCTGTGACTGAATATGTCAGTAAAAAAATTGTTTTATGATACTGTATAGCCACGGCCACCTATAAATCCAGGCCGTGGCCTGGTAGAATTTGCAACGTCACAAGTAGTGTTGTTTAGCGCCAGACGTCCCATAAGATAACATGGCTGACTTGTGTACAATTACTAATTTAAATTTATGAACATAAATGAATTAAAAGAAAATAAATCACATAGGGTTTAAAACCAAAACAATATTAATTTAAAAACCATTTCTATAAATTTAAAGTGGAGTCAATATTTTCCGATGGTGTAGGCACTACAAAGAGCGAAGTCACTAATAGAGTCTACAATATACTATTGACAACCAAATTTTGAATGCTAAGGATATGTTTAACTTTTGTTAAATACACCTTTAAGGTATTCAATTCCTTTATGTAGACAATGAAGAAGTAGCAAAAGATGAATTAGAACTTCAATATTGAAGGACGTCTAGACCAATTCCCTGAACACAATCATTTCACAGATTTGTACCTGTGGCAGACAGCAAAGTAGAGTGTTTTAAAACATCAAAATGCTTAAAATATATTATTAAAATATAACATTATTAATAAATAAAAAATAAATTGATAGTGTATTATAATATCATATGCTTCATACGCTATACGCGTATAATGCTAATTTGAGTCCTTTTCAATGTTTCATAACTTTAAAACCAGTTGAGTCCACAAAATATAATTATTACAGGATAATACTCTTACTTAGTACTATATCTGAGCCAAATTTGAAATTTTTATTTTCATGCCCAACAGAGATATTAAGCGTCAAACTTTGAAATTTTGAAAATTTTAAGATTTTGAAATTTTGTATTTAATACCCTATGCAAGTCCACAACTTGAAACTTTGAGAATTTGGAGTACACACCTATAACTATCAGATAAAAAAATAACAAACACATAGTCAATTGCCTTTATGTAAAAATAAATTGTTAAAAATCTGTTTTCGTAACATCGTTGCGTTAAACTTTAAACAGGTAATTAGACCTATATATTTAGTTTTAAGTGCATAACTATACTACCATATTAAAGTTTAGATCTTTCTGAAGAGATTGGTTTTTATTTTAATGTTCTAGGATTAGTAGAACCAGAGATATTTAATTTAACGTAGAGCTCTGAAATCGCTGAAAACGGGCATTCGACTAACAAAAAAATGGCCGCCATACAGTAGAAAAATTAAATAAAAATAAAATAATTGTATTTTTGTACTTCTAATGATATGTACTTTTAAGGATTAAAATATAAAAAAAATTAAAAATCTTGAAGCAACCAATTAATTTATTTCTGGACCACTTGAAATGGATTGACCCTGTGAGAGTTGGGGGAAAACCATAGCCAACACACTTTTACGCATGCAGTTCATCAGAGGAATTAAGGATGCTGATGTTAGAGCAAGGATACTACAAGAAAAAACAACTAAATCATTTTATGACGTTGTTAAATTGGCAACAGCAATGGAACTATCCAAAGATGAAAGTTCTCTGGTCAAAACATCAACAGATTTTACAAACAATACTGTTCACAAGATTGGAAACAAAAAATCGAACTATATACCTAAGAAAGCTCAGCCTTCACCCTTTGACAAATTGAGAGGAAGATGCTACCGCTGCGGCTCACGGGACCATAGAGCCAACAACTGCAAGTTTGCTTCTGAAACGTGTCACAAATGCACAAAACAGGGTCACATAGCCAGTGTCTGTATGCAAGCAAAGGAAACAAAAGTTCATCAGACTGAAGAAGATGGAAACTATAGTTGTCAAGAAGAAACACATGAAATTTACAAATTGAACAATAGCAGTAGTGATAAAATACTTATTGATATTTTGCTAGAGGGGAATCCAGTCCAGATGGAGCTGGATACAGGTTCAGCCATCAGCACGTTACCATATAATATGTTCAAGAAACTTAATACGAATAGAAGACTTTTTAATACACAGCTACGACTTAAAACATATACAGGAGAATTATTCAAGCCCAAAGGTGTTGTGTTTGTTCAATGTTCATACAAAAGCCAGAGTTTTACGGGTAAACTCTATATTGTAGACGGTCACTCGGATCCTATTTTTGGTCGAGACTGGCTACGGGAAGTAGAGTTGGACTGGAAAGAAGTAAAAGCAATCAAACAAGAAACTGGAGGACGTTTAGATGAACTTCTAAACAAATACACGGATGTTTTCGAGCCAGATATAGGAAAAATACCTGATCAACTATGCCACTTACAACTGACACCTGAAGCTCGACCAATATTTATGAAAGCAAGGCCAATACCTTATTCCTTGAAACAAAAGGTAAAAGAGGAACTAGAGCGCTTAGAAACTGCAGGAATAATAACAAAGACGGACAATTCTGAATGGGGAACACCCATAGTACAAGAAATGAAACCCAATGGTGAAATTAGAATATGTGCCGATTATAAGGTTACGGTGAACAGACAAATTCAAGACGAACACTATCCAATTCCGAGAATTGAAGATATTTTCGCAAATATGAGCGGTGGCAAGATTTTCTGTACTCTGGACTTAAAGAAGGCTTACTTACACCTACAAATGGATGAAGCAAGTGCTGACATCCAAACCCTTAGTACACATAAGGGACAGTTCAGAGTTAATCGACTCATGTTCGGAGTTAAAGTAGCTCCTGGAATTTGGCAAAGAATCATGGACAAGGTCTTATCGGGTATAGAAGGCACTCAATGCTTCTTCGATGACATAATCATCCAAGGAAAATCAGAAGAAGAGTTGCTCACTCGGTTGGAAATGGTACTTCAAAGAATAAAAATGAATGGACTAAGGTTAAATAGAGATAAATGCAAGTTTCTACACAAACAAATTGAGTACTTAGGTCACACTATAGATGCCCACGGAATCCACAAATCAGAAGATAAAGTTAAGGCTATCAGACAAGCAAGAAGACCCCAGAATGTTAGTGAACTGCGAACCTTCTTAGGTCTTGTCAACTATTATAACAGATTTATCGAGAACCTGGCAAACGATTCTCAATCCGTTACATGGACTACTAAAAAAGGAGAAGAAATACAAGTGGACAGATCAATGTGAACAAAGCTTTCAGAAGGTTAAGGAGATCATTACAAATGAAATTGTCCTTACTCATTTTGATCCAGTCTTACCTTTGGTATTGGCAACAGACGCATCTCCGGTGGGGCTTGGAGCAGTACTGTCACATAGATTTCCAGATGGAAGTGAAAGACCTATAGCCTTCGCTTCAAGAACACTGACAAAACCGGAAGAGAAATATAGCCAAATTGACAAAGAGGCTACTGGAATTTATTGGGGACTAAAAAAGTTCTTCCAATATTGCTATGGACGTAAATTCATCCTAGTAAAGGATCACAAGCCGTTAGTTACAATATTCAATCCTGATAAAAACCTACCTTCTATGTCAGCTACACGACTTTTTAACTATTCACACTTCTTATCAGGTTTTGACTACAAAATAGAGTTTAGACGAACAAATGATCATGGAAATGCAGACTTCCTTTCAAGATTCCCAATTGAAAAACATTCAAATGCCAGCATGGACCAGACTGATGTTTTCTATATGAACCAAATTGCAACGATCAACCTAAACCATAACCTAATTGCTCAAGAAACGAAAAAAGATGAAAACATGCAACACTTGCTACTAGCTTTGGAAACTGGAAAATCGCTGGAGCACTATGGTTATCATAACGGTGAGCTGTGTCTACATGATGGTTGTATCATGAAAGGTTGGAGGGTGATGATTCCTAGTCCTTTACAAAAACATGTCCTCGAAGAACTACATTTTGGTCATCTGGGTATGGTAAAAACCAAAGCCTTAGCACAAAGTTTTTGCTACTGGAAAGGTTTGGACAAAGATATAGAAGATAACATTTCAAAATGCAGACAGTGCAGGGAAAAACAAAATTTACCGAAGAAAGAAATTAACCATCCCTGGGAACCAGCAAGTGAGCCATGGGAGAGAATCCACATAGATTTTGCTGGGCCAACCAACGGAAACTACTTTTTGTTAGTAGTAGACGCATTCAGCAAATGGGTTGAAGTCATACCTACGAAGAGTATTACATCTTCATGGACAATCAGAGAGCTGCGTAAAATATTCACCACATTTGGACTACCAAGTGTTATAGTCTCTGATAATGGTCGTCAGTTCACCTCTTCTGAATTTAGTAACTTTTTGAAGAAATGTGGAACTTTGCACAAATTACCCTCTGAATTTAAGCAGCTACAATTTTTTTTTTTTTTGTCTTGCCACCACCATTATAAGGCACTAGGGCAATCCCTGACTATCGTCGGTTTAAATTTAGAAAATGCATGCTTTTCACACGGACAGCTGTATTTTGGGTGCTCACGCCTAAAATTACGCGTAGTAGGTACGCCTAAAAACTTATAGAAAAAACAAAAAACATAGTTTATTAACTGGCAATTAAGTAAAATATTCTATTTTTATTTTTGGTACACACTTTCATTATTCATCGTAAAGAACAAATATTTACGATAATAATTGTTAAGCGCAGCAACGCGGGCCGGGAAACTGCTAGTTTATTATAAAACTTGTAACAAACAAGAATCTTATTTAAGAGCATTCGTCAAAAAGTTTTAAAATTCCAGAGAAGTATAATTTCTTTAATAATTATAATTATATTTAGGTCTGATTCCATAAAAGTTAGCAAAGCAAGGAGAATTTTAAATTAAGATAAAAATGTTGTCTACAAATTTTAGTAATTAGAAAAAAGATTTTGCTAGTGTCGACCATTTTAATACAGGGTGGAACAAAGTTAGTGTTTAAAATATTTATGTGTTTAACTACTTAGTGTTGGGGACGAAATGACACTAATTTACGTTTCCATACCCGTACAGGTAGGGAATAGCACAATTTTAGGGTCAAAAATGGGATAAATCTATTTTTACCGCATAAAACCCGAAAACCCCCTTTCTCATAGTCTGATTATGCTGGTTCGCGAACTCGATAGAATTAAAATAAGTTTACACGTTTGTACCAAATTTCATCAAAATCGCATAATATATATATATATATGTACTAGCAGAGTACCCGTCCTTTGTACGGGGTTGGCAAATAAGTATAAAATGCTTATTGCAGTTAACCCGATCTTTGCGTTTGCGATGTAAGAAAACACGGTTTAAGAAAATTTGCTTCCTCAAATTTACGGTATGCGATAGTATTACAAATCTACCATAGCCATAATGTTCTACTACTTCACCTACCCAATAGAGAAAGATAGATTATTAAAAATTTGCAAAATATCATAAATTATTCATGAAATTAAAAACATAAACATAACTGTAAACAATCCTACTTTGACAGTTCTCATTGTGTATCACAGTTTCTTCTTGCTGCTTAGTTCAAATTAGCTGTTTTCATAAATAATAGTGCAGCACCCTGTTGGTAAATCTTAAAAAATTTTAATGCTTTTGCATATATTATAGAACCAACTCTTTTAGTTGAAACAGCTGGCTAAATTCTTTAATTCCCGTTAAATAAGAATACTCATAAGGTTAACATTGGTCAGGTAAGTTAAAAAATGGTGGATTTTGTAGCTAAAAAGTTTAATTGTTTGGATGATATTTTTTTAAATTTTTAGCTGGTGTAGTTTGGTTGTAATTTAAATTTTTATATAGGGACTACCCGCCCTGTAAACTACCCGCCGTGTTATGTCATTCGGGTAGCTTCTGCCTACAACCTCACATGTAATACAGTTTAGATACTCAAGGTTGGAGCTATACAGAAAAGTTACTAAACTGATTAGAAATATACGGAGTACATATAAATGTTCTTTGTTTTATTTTTTGTATTCTTTTAAAATTAATATTTTTTAGCTCTTTCACAATAATTTATGACAGTCAAAATATAAAGGAGAGTTGTATTTCAGAAACTATCTTATGACTTTAAAAATGTGTACAATGTAAACCAAACACCAGAACTGTATCAAACTTGAATACGATATAGATACATAATAAATTAATTTGTAGCTTTTCAGAATTTTTCTTTCACCCAAAAAGTTTTTGTTGTTAATTATGTAAACTAACTTTTTCTAAGAAACGGTAAACGCTAGAAAACAAATTAAAAGCGTATTTTGAAGGTCATTGTGTTATATTTATAATGTATTGTCACGGATATCATTGATAAACTAACATTTAATTAGTTAGCCCCGCTATTAGGGCTCATCACAGCCGGCAGCCGCCATCTTAGTTAAGATTAGTGAAAAATACCACCAACGTGCCCCATCTATTGGTATTATGTGATCGTTGGTGTCGATAACACCTCAGCACGACCATATCGCAATCTGTACATTTTCTGGCCTGCAGAAATAGAGGAGACTGTTCCAAAGAAAGATGATAACAGTATAGTGTTTCTTTTTATGGAGATAATAAAACAGCTAAAGTAAAGGAAAGTGATGTATGTCTTTACTCAGAAAACAAAGCAGTAAACAAGAAAATTTCAAAAATAAATATTTTAATGCAGCTCTAAAAGAAGCAGAAATGGCTTTTGCAATGAAATCAAGCAAAACTGATAAGTATTGCTCTGAAAGTCAAACCTCAGAGGACACTTTGTTTAGCTGCATCACTCAACTTCATACCTCAACTAACAAGCCCGAACCTATGTCAAACAATTTAATTAAATCTTACCATGGATGATTTTCAAAACATTGTACAGAATTTTGATACATAAGAAAATGATTTGGAAACTTCTCTTAACCTAGCAGCGGAGGTTGGAAATGCCCTCCTTGTTGAAGACAATAACCTTGAAGATGATGAACACAGGCTGAGTCTCGAAAATGTCAAACTATCAAGTAACAAAAATAAAAAATGAAAATGAGGCAGCTTGGGAAGAAAAAACTAGACACTATTAGACCAAAATGACACATTGTTAATGAAAAACAACTTGTTAGTGGAAACAATCAATAATCTTGAAAAACAGCTTGACAATGAGAAGATGCTTCACAGCGACTTAGAGCACACCTTTAAAGAATTGAAAAGGAAAAAGAAGACTCATTAAAAGAATGTGAACAAGAAATTCAACAACTTAAACAAAACATAACAGATCTGACACAAAAACACAATAAAGCTAAGCTGGATGAAAAAGAGGAAAATCTGGTTGGAGCCTGCTTTAGTCCAGACCCATCAATGTGTAGCTGGACACAGTTCTTTCCTCTGAGCTGAACTTACTAAAATTAAAATGAAACAAAATCAAATGGAACACGTCATTAACACCCTGAAAATGCAGATACAAAGAGACCATTTCTCCGACAACTCATACAAATCCTTCCATTCCAACACCAAGTTCATTAAAAAATAAAATAGCTCAAAGAAATCATAACAGAACTAACAAATTCAGCGTATCCCTGCAAAATGCATAATACCTAGACCAAACAAACCACACACTTGCTACTGACTGCAGAAAGAACCAGCAAAACCTTCAAAAACACAACGTGGAGAGACAGACAAACTCCAACGAAAAAACTGCAAATTTGAAACACCAACCGGGAGAGTCAGACAAACTCCTACTAAAAAACTGCCAACAGAAACTACAACAGGGAGAGTCAGATAAACTCCTACTAAAAAACTTTCATCTGAGACCTCAACAGAACAACTATCAACCGGGGGAACCAGCCAAACCCCGCCACAAAAACTGTCACAGGTGTCACAAACAGTAAAAGCTTGAGAAAGCCTGAAAGTGACTAAAAATTAAAATTAATTTCCACCCCTAAATGCTAAACCAAAGAGCAAAGACGAGGATTACAATGATTTCTTTGTATAAAATATAGGATTTTATTCAGAACATATGAAGATGCATTATGGATATTTGGTAAAAAGGGATGCTGCATCGCTACAGGATAATAGATTTGTTTTTTCCTCACCTTCTAAGATTATTCCAATGCAGCCTGATTTGAATTTTAAAAAAAAACTACAAACACCAGCAGAGACAAGAGAAACGCAACCTGACTGTTTTTTAGACAATTGAGTCAGGATGCAAACTCCAAATTCATCCTGCTGCACCAAAATACACAGGAAGCCTCCAATACAATAAATATACT